ATTTATCATGGGAGTGGAACACAGAGACCCGAATTCTCTCCGCGACCAACAAATCCTGCGGAAAACAGCCAGTACGTGGCTTCCTCAGGTCGTGTTCCTGCTAAGTGAATTCTCTCTGCAGCCGTCAGAGCATTGTTGTGTTTTACCTGCTTGTAAAACTAACCGCCATTTGAAACCATTCATCCCCTCTGCTATCCGACTTTTAGATGCTCCAAACGTTTATTTTACCGTCATTATTTATAGACTTTATTCCACATTTTAGCTCCTCTGTGTGTTTGTTGGCTTGTATGTGGTTTTTGTTTGTTACTGTGTGTCTCTGTGTACAAGCTGCTCGTAACTAATTGACCATTGGTGGGATTAATGAAGTTGTCTTGAATTTGAAGTTTGGGAAATAAGCTAATTTGTTTTCTTGAGAAAATTGATACCCCTCTCGTGTTTGTATGATACACAGAGTGGTGCAGGGATGACATGTTTTTGTCGGCCAACCTGAAAGTTAGCATCGACCTCAACATTTACTGACGTATTTCCTATCGTAGAACAAAACATCAAAGTCTCTAAAGCTTGTGTTAACCACACACCACATTTGATGCATCTCACATAAAACGACATTGACTTCGACACAAGGGAAGCGGAAGTGCAAAAAGTGCATTTCCTGGTTTTAGGACTCATTCCTGCAGCGCTCTATATGAAGCTACAGCGGGGAGCCATCTTAGCTTAGCATAATGACTGGAGACAGAAACATTTTTACAAAACAAAGAATAGTGCTAGTAGGTGGATTTTCTCACCTTCAGGCAAAGCGAGGGAGTAGGTTTGCATATGGACATGTCCCCACCAATATTTGAGCGAACTCTTTCGTGTCATCTTTGGAGTGAACACACAACATTATAATTGTAATATTACCTCTTTCTCAAAATGCTACGACTCCTCAGAGAACGCAGATAGGTGGGCTGTGTTTGGAATGTGCAGAACATTTTGAACATGAGCCACAATCTGGCAGAAACAGCTAAAGTCCAGTTTATATTATTATTATTATAATACATTAGTTAAAATGAGTTGTATCTTTGATGTGAATCGGTGACATGTGCATATTTGTCGAGGCTACTTCCCCAAACAAAAGACACAAAATAGGTGGAAAGAGTGAATCGTGCCTTGTCACCTGGCTCCTGAATTTTGTGTTTTCCTTCACATAAATAAAATTATTTCCACCATAAATTGATGCAGAGACATTCACCAGAGTGCAGGAAGTGTTTGACGCTCCGAAACGAAAGCTACGCCCTGGAGACAAAGCCTTGCTTCCTGAATGTAACCTCATGTGTAATGGACAGATATGGAAGTGATATCAATCTTCTCGTTTAACTTTCCACCTGAATAAATGCGTTTCACAAATTGTTGAACTATTCCTTAAAGATGATGGTTTGCGGCCCACGCTGTTTTACTTGTTTATTCTGCACCTCCCCTACTCGTCTCATCTCATCCCTCCGCCTGTGTAAGCCCCATGCATTTCGTTTCGCAGGTCGCCTCGCTCCACGGGCTCAACTCGAAACGAGAGGCCATTTTCAGAGCACAAATCCTGTTTTGATGCCGCCATGCAGAGCACCACAGATCAGTCGGTGAGGGGAGTTAGACAAGCAGCACTTGTCTAAGACGATGTCACTGGGAGAAGAGAGGAAGAAGTGGGTATTTATGTGTGTTCATGCGCCGGCGGGGAGGAGGAAATGTGATGGGAGGGCTGATGTTCAGGGTGGAGGCTCTCAGCCTCTTAGCTTGAGCAACTGCAACAGTGTAATGGCTGCTGGAATGAGCAATGACAGCAATCCACACGTCTGCTATTTGTGTGTGCTCAAAGTCACATTAACCATCCAGTAAGGAATGAAAAATGATGGCTTCAAAGATGCCTGTGTGTGTGTGTGTGTGTGTGTGTGT